TGAACAAAAGTTTATCTTTCAAATCGTCACTCTTCATCCCACAGGTATCAACGAACGCTTTTCATTCCACTAATTTATTCGTGTTTTTCTCGTCACCAGGTTCCCACTAATAGTCTCCCTCGCAGCCGTTTTTAGTCTCGTCACGCAACGCTTCTCCCCCAGAAGCGTTGCGTGACGAGACTAAAAACGGCTGCGAGTGAGACTATCCCACCAGTGACCTAGCTCCGCTTTCTGAATATTAACCCACATACAACCCACAATTCCTCTACTCGTTCTGACGAAGGGCTAACGCTCGAAACGTCAGATTTTTTATTCGTTACGGTGGCCAATTTACAATTTCAACTTAGTTGATATAACCAAATTACCTTGTTACTCCCATCGACGCAGCACCACAATTTCTTTAGAAACTTTCAGCCTTAATGCATAAATTAATCAAGTGAGTGAATCTTATCGAGTCGGGGTCGAAGTCACCTTCAGAAGCGCAGAGCAATACGATGTAGTGAAAAGTTTCACCTGACTGACGACTGCTGCCGATCGACAAATTGTTGTTCCATTTCTTTGCCAGAATTGAGATTAACCTTCGACCTATTCCTTGAAAATAATTCACACAATTATGCATGCAGTTTCCATAGTATGACAGGCAGGTCGCATGAAATAAACCAATCAAACTTTGGGGTGGCAAGCCCTTTCAAATCTGAGACAAATAAAGATAAAGTGTCCAACAGCCGTGACCGAAGGAGATTTAGTTCTGCGAAACTGCTTCTTCATTTCAGCATTTCAAGATTTTCGGCTGGAATTATCTACTGATCGATTGCTATGGCCGACTTTTACGATCCAATGAGCGATTGGGAAGAAATTAACGCGGAGGATGTAAAAGAGTATATGGATGAAAATGGTGTGTCGGGTTTAGCAGAATTCTTCAAAGGACGCATGGAGAGGTGGAAGAAAGTGGAAGTGAATATTGGAATCACTGGTGACTCCGGAGCTGGAAAATCGAGTTTTATCAACGCGATTAGGGAGTAAGTATGCTCTTTGTTTGTGAAAACACCGAATAGTTAGTCTCCACTTTCTAAGTGGCAGGTGACAGTTAATTTCCGTTGAATTATTCTACGAATTTCACTTTCGCGTCTTAGCTGCTGAACGGCTTATTTAGAGAGAGGTTATTTCGTGGCTTTGCAGCTGAATTCAATTCTTCTGCGAGATGTTATGAGAATGTTTCGTGCGTCTCCCGCTTTTTATTTCTGGTCAGTTAGAGATCCTGTAATTCCCAGCTTTAGGGTGATAGCATAATTCGTAATTTCGTTCGTCTATGAATACGAGCATTACGTGAAGACACTGCTGAATTCCTTGAGCCGAAAGAACACATTCAGTTCCTCTTCGAATGGCATTTATATCGTCCCAAAAACAGTCTTGAGATCAGCTTGTGTCTAGGCAACCTAGCTAGCCGTTTTAGGAAAAATCAGCGCGACAGACCTTTGATGCAGATGGCCACGTGAAGGGTCTCAATTGTCTTTGGTTCATCATCCGCACTCCGCTGTATTTTTACAGTCCCGTTTTTCTCGAGCGCGTTGTAGATGATTTCTAATTATGCTGGAAATTTTCCCGTCGACTATCAAAAAGCATTTTTTAGATGATGCAAGGAAAGATTTCGAAAAATGCAAAAATTGATTCATGAAAGATTGATTCTAAAATTAAAATTTTCAGATGACAATGGGAGAGATTTCACGAAAATACAAAATGTGGAAACATTAAATGGTTTCTTCCACTTTCTAGGCTTGATGACGATGCTAATGGTGCAGCCCCAGTTGACGTCACTGAGTGCACTATAGAGCCCACATCCTTTAATCATCCAAAGTATCCAAACATAAAGTTTTGGGACCTTCCAGGGATTGGAACTCCGAATTACCCTGACGTGGAAACGTACCGCGACAAGGTACAGCTCGACAAGTATCATACATTCCTCATTTTTGCGAGCAGCCGATTTACCGAGAACGACATCATATTGGCCAAAGAGATCAAGAAACAGGGAAAGTCATTTTTTTTCATTCGCACAAAAATCGATGACAATGTGCGAGCCGAGAAGCGAAAGAAATCTTTCAGTGAAGCTGCTATGTTAGAGAAAATCCGGCGCAATTGTATAAAAAACCTGGTTGACGAGGATGGCAAGCCTATATGCATCGAAGACCACATCTTCCTGATAAGCAACCATCATCCAGGCAAGTGGGATTTTGGTAGACTTACCCAAGCAATTCTTGATGCATTGCCAAGATATCAGCGAGAGACCCTCACCTTATCTCTAAATGCCTTAACCAGCTTGTCAAAAGATATTCTGAAGAGAAAAGTTGAGTTCCTCGAAGGGCGGATGATGTATGTTGCAGGGGCATCTGCTCTGGCAGCGGCGATTCCAGTTCTTGGGCTATCTTTTGCCGTAGATAGCGCTCTCCTATTGAAAGAAATTAGAGAGTACATAACCCAGCTTGGTATTCCTGAAAAAGGATCCAACAGATTTGGGAGGCTAAGTTCTACCACCCAGCAGGAGATTCTCGACCTTTACCTAAAGTTTGCCACTGTCTCTGGAATTGCCTCTTTATTTGCAATCGAAGCCGCCGCTGAAGGTGTCGCGGAAGAATTCGCTCGTTTTATTCCGTTCGTTGGTTCTTTTATAGCTAGCGGTTTGTCCTTCGGTGGCACATATATTCTTCTTCGCCATTCTTTAAAAAGAATTGAAGCAGTAGCATTAGCAGTCCTGGAGGAAGCTGCCCAACAATCAGTGGACGATTTAGATCTTGAGTAGACTTGTATAAATCCGGGTTTATTGGACTAGGAGCCATTATGAACCTTGGTTTTATTTGATTTATAGCTGTCAGTGCACCAAGCTTAATTGTAAAAGAACTCAGTCGTAGTTTAAGTTGCTTTTCTTTCCCCGAACGATAGCTTGTTTTCACTTTTTTCATAACATTGACTAGTAACAGGGTCGGTGCTATAAGTTGAGGTTAAAGACTGTGTATGATAATGATAATGGAAAAGATGACCGGCGATTGCCATGAAGCTGAAGAACCTGACCGTAAAAACTTCGGTATTGATTGCCTCCAATAAA